CATGGAGGTTACAATCATTCCCACTCATTTTGATGTCATATTGGATGGCCTGGGGTGAGTCATAGAATCTGAGAATTTTTTTATTTTTTGAAACTTTGTGTCTATTCAATGACACTCTTACAACCACCAATTTTGAAATTTAAAGGATAATAATGATTGTGACTTCTATGTACAAAAGATAAATAGTCTCTTTGTAGACAATCCCTTATAAACTTGTATATAGTTTTACATATAAATATATCTTCTTGAAGAGTTGTTTTTACTTTATTCAAATTAATTTACTTAAAATCACATCTTTTCCCAAAAATAGCAAAAAATAGTTGGAAGTTGACAAAAAAAATCAGCAACTAAAAAATTGGATATACAATACAAGTAATACCGAATAGCTAACAAATTAATATTATGCAAAGTATATTGATTTTGGATAAGTTAGTCTTTTTTAAATAAATTAATTGTCATAAATGGGATCTAAATTTTTGGCATTTATGAGAACAATTTACGGATAAATCCTTCCACAAGTTGGATATTTTAAAAAAATCCAATAAATTTTATGTTTTACACTCAAATCCCACTTTTTGTAGTATTTTTTTTTTTAATTTTCCTAAACTACACCATAATCCCTTAAGACTTCCTCACTGGTAAGTCGTCGTAAAATGGAAAAGAGTTTACCATGAAATCCTTAAAGATTTTTCTTTATGCCGTTTGAAAAAAAAACAAAAAAAAAATCTACTATGAAAATAATATGAGAAATTAGAGTTCTATATAAAATTTTCCTTAAAACTACTTGAAAAAATAGGTAGGGTATGTCTACCCATTGAGTTACTGGAAAGAAAAAAAAAAAAAGTAATTGTAATTTCTTTCATTTATTTTTTTGGTTATCATTGAAAACAGGTAGGACATCTTCCAGCTGACTTAAGCAAGAATGAAAATGACAGCTTGTATTCAAAAAGAACAAAAGGGTCATTAAATTTTCAACAATGGAAATATGTTCATTTATGTTCGAGGATAGTCTTTATGTGCATTTTGCCCTTCTCTTAAATTACACGCGATTCCAATAATAATGCGCCTTTCAAGTGTGAAGCACAAAATTTTGTACTTCTGACCTTTTGAAGAATTAAAGAATAAAATTAAGACGATAATTTTAGAATGTACTTTACTTTTTTTTCTTTTTTTTATTTAAATAATTCAATCGGGAAGATAGGCCCCTACCCGTTTGATCAATTTTTTTTTATTTAGATAATTCAGTAAGGAAGACAGACCCCTACCCATTTAATCAGATTCAATCACACATTTTTTATATATATTAACAATGGGAATAGAGGGTAATAGGTTATGTTGAGACATTTACCCCTTAACCACTAATGCCCCGATCCTGTACATGAGCAATTTGAACCTTTTCGAGACATAGTATTCATGGTAGGAAAATGTTTTTGGCAAATCCACTTATTTAGTTCTAGGACTCAAAATACATCTCATGTAACTTCCATCCATTTCCCCCTCAAATCCATGAATTTAGAGCATATCTGGGGAATTTTAATTGATCTACAACAAAAAAGGTAAAAGATGGACTATTTTTAAAGGTCAACTTTTTTTTGTTAGGTACATGATGGTAGTTGACAAGGCAATGGACCCATGGAATTTTGAATCCAAATTCCCTGTCCACCATAAATCTTGGGTACGGGGAAGATAGGGTCACTACAATAGGTATAGCCCAAAAAGTACCTAAATCCTTCCCTCAATTATATATTCATATTCTTTCCTTTCTAAAATATAGAACTCTTGAGTGCTTTAAGCCTCATACAAAAACTATAATTTTGTTGAGGAAAAATCATCCAAAAAATAAAGCACAAAAATATATATGATGGCTATAAAATCAATTTCTACAATTGATTATGAAATTTATAGCTCAAAAAATGATACAGATATACACATACATGAATACTTATTAATTTGTAGCTTAAAAAATGGTACAAATTTTACACATTAATACTTATTAATTTGTTGCTCCAAAAATAATACAGATTTTACACATACATGAATACTTATTTTTAGAATGAAATAGACAATATAGATACTGTATTACAATATACATCATTTTTAGGACTTGAAAATCCTAATTTTTTTCACAACCATGATGTTCAAAGCCGGGATGATCAATCTAAAGGTTTTTTAGTCACCAAAACTTCAATTTTAGTTTTGAGGTGAGGCTTTATTTATTTTGATAGCATTGCAGCCGTATCAAAACATTTTCCTTTTTTTTAAATAAATGGGAGATAAAAATGAAAAAGAAGGGGCAAAATCAGCCCTTTGCCCTCCGCTATTATATATATATATACTTAACTCAAAAGTACACTCATGTGCCTTATGCACAAAAATCTACATTTCCTTCGTAGGCTTATACGTTCATATACGATCCATATACGGTTCCATACACTGCAACTTTTCTCCATACTAGAGTTTCCTAGCTCTGCAACTTTCTCCCCTTTTTCTCCCATTACATAATGGAGCAAGCATTAGGGTTTTCATCGCTGAATATCTGGGGAGCATGTACATATTCGATCGTATATTGCGGGTAAAATACCTCGTTTTTCTTGATTTCAGCTACAGTTTCTTCTTCCACTACTTTCTCTTCCTTTTTCTCCTCTTTCTTTTCTGGTTCTTTCTTCTCTGGTTCTTCCTTTTTCTGATCTTTCTCTGTGTTTTCTTCTTTCTTTGCGGGAGCTGGATCTTGCTTGACAATGACCGCATGTTTACCGGTGCGTTTGTACACGTATTCCACGAGTTTCGGAGGGTCGAATACTCCTTTTACTATAACTTGTTGGCTCTTGAGGTCTGGATCGGCCAATTCTATCCCTGAAAAAGTAGGATGGAAATGTGGGTTTAGTTGAGATTTCAGTGAATATCATTTTTTTTTTCTTTTTGTTTAGAAGGATTAAAGGGCTCAGTTGCTATAGAAAATTGATTGAATTGACTAGATTAATCAAGCATTTAGCTGACTTTAACTTCACTCAGTGGCCTGAGCATTTTAAGATCAAATTCAGAGGTTGAAGCATTATTAACAGTTCAGATTGGACATATGAGAATCCAATGAAATCAAGATTGTTCTAAGGATTCTGACTGGACTACTTGACAATTTTGGTGGAAAATTGATGCCAAGGAGTATGAATTATTCAAGATTTTGAATCATTTGAGGATTGACTTAAATGGCAGAGGTAACTATAAAAGTTATGCGACTATTACCATGAATTAATGCAATTTAAATAATGTTCAGAATCGGAAGTGGAATGAACAATTCTGCCAAGTCAGAATTCAATAATATGAGAGAGAGAGAGAGAGAGAGAGAGAGAAAAGCTAGAGAGAATCCATAAGTTAAAGATTGAAGACCGACTTTGTCCTTTTTACAAAACAGAGAGAGGGAGAAATTGCAGTCCTTTTCATGTCTCTCTTTTTTATCTCAGTAAGAAAAAAAGTAGGTTTATTTTTACCTTTCATCTTCATTATCCTCTTCCTTATCTCCTGAGCACAAGCTTCACAGTGCATGTGCACCTTTAATACCACTAATATCACAACAGGCTGCAACATTCAACAGGACCAATCAGAATATTCAATAAGAAAATATTACAAAAAAGGAACAAAAAAAAAGAACATTAAAGTTCAAACTCTCTCTTTCTTTCTCTCTCTAAAATTCAGCACTTTATAGGGGAAAAAAAGGGCAAAAGTACCTCTTCTTTCTTCACTTCTACTGGTTTTGCTACCTCTTTCTCATCAGGCTTCTTAGGCTCTTCAGGCTTTGGTATTGGAGAGATGAGCTCAACTTTTCTCCCACTTTTCCTTTGAACTCTCTCACAAACCTTCAATGGGTCTGCCTTCTTCCCCTTCACCACCACCTTATGAGTCTTTGTATCGGTCTGCACCGCTTCAACCCCTGTAGAAACCGTAGATACCATCGAAACACAGAGAAGAGAGAAACAAAAGTAACAACAAAGAGAAAGAAGCATCCAATCTCATATTGAAACTGTATATTTGAAATGGTTTTCTAGCTGCCGGCAAACTAAAATGCAGATAAAATCAAGCAACGGGTCGAAGATTTGTATCCTATACGAAAGAAAGGTTTCTGGTCCAAATTTTAAAGATTTGTATGGTGAATAGAAAACAGGAAAAAACATAAGCAAGATCAATCAAGCATAACAAATTCCAGTAGCTGAAGGAACCAGAAAATCGGACTGAAACATGCATTGGGCAAAAATAACAAAAAAAATAAACACAGGCAAATTGTGTAAAAATTGTGTAAAAATAAGAATTGGGCCTGAGATTTCTAAGATATTGTCTCTTCGAAATCATGAAAACTGTGTGTATCAGAGAGAGAGAGAGAGAGAGAGTTTAATCAAGAAAAGTCATCTCCAAGGTGAGGAAACAAATCAAAAGACGCATGCATTGGGTCTAAAACTCTATTATTTTCTGGTGATTTCAGTAACTTGAATGTAGGAAAAAACCAACATCATTCTTTAAGCCAAAACCATTTTCAGGAGACTGGAAGGCCACTAAACCAGGAGACTGGAAGACCATTAAATCAGAGTGAAAAGCACAATCACTTACCATGCAATTTAAAAGTGAAATCATTTTTAAAAATACCCAACAACCAAAAACCAGAGAGAAATCACCATTGGGTCCGCATTAAAATTCTTTTAGTAGCCACTATTAATACTCAGAAAAGAGCAAAAACACTGAATTGGATTCATTATTTTTCTCGCAAGCTTCTGATTCAAACCTTCAAATCCTTTAAGCGAGCGCCTCACTTTCCTTGCGCACCCTTCGCAATGCATGTAAACTTTCAAAATGATCTCATCCGAGACCGTTTCCTTAGCCTTCTCCTCTTCTTTCTTTGCTTCTCCTTCTTTTTTCCCTTCCTTCTTTTCCTCCTTTTCTCCTTCTTTCTTCTCCTCTGCCTTCTTCTCCTCTGCTTTCTTCTCCTCCGGTTTCTTCTCCTCTGGTTTCTTCTCCTCTGGTTTCTTCTCTTCCTGTAAAAAACAAACAACAAAGATTTCTCATCTGAAAATAATTAAATTTTCGAAAAAAAACTTCATTAATGGGTTTTCTAAGAACTAGAGCTTGATGTACCTCACCCATTTGCTCTTATGGCTTCCTTTTTTCTCTGTTTTCTGTTTTATTGCAGGGAAAATTTAGGATCTACAAATGCTGGTCTTCTCTTATGATTGTGGTATTCTTGGTGCAGAGTTAAGCTTCACTTATAACCGTTCGATCGAATCTTGTCTATAGATCTTGCGGCCTTGGTTTCTTCTCCTCTAGAGCGAGAAAATGCAGGTCCGCCATTGCCTAACGCTGGTTATGCAATCACTCGGGTTTACAATTTATTGCTCTCTTTCTATATATTCCCTTTGAATAAGCAAATTAGGGAGTACCTAATACTTGCCACTAATTACTTGTAAAATATCGTGGATACCCTATGGGTTTTTTTAAGAGCACCTCTCATTTTTAAAATGACAAAGATACCCTTCTATACAAATTTTTTTGAGTAAAAGCTTGCATATTGTAAGTATTGTAATGTTTATATACTTAGCTAATCTCATGCAGTTGAGAGAAGGTTATGATGAAGATGAGATTGTTTATATGCTTGATGTAGGTCTTCATTGTCTATCCTCAATAATGGACGGTGGATGAATCGGTCCTTCATTTTCCGCTCATGTGGAACAACTAATCCCCCTCTCCATTATTAAAAATGATAATTTGAGGGGATTCCATCGTAAAGTTGGACTGATATCGTATTTATCTGGACCACATGCTTCTCTAACACCAATGATGCAATCAATGATTAAATGGCACATAATAGATCTTTCTTTTTCTTAATGTATTTCAGGAGATCATATCGTAAAATAGACAAAAAAAAAAATTTCAAAATGGCTGGCCTAATGGAAATTACAGGTCATATGACCCAAATTGGATCTAGCCAATCTGGCTAATTAATGTTGCATGTCAGTATTTTAATTTTTCTAATAAATTCAATAAACCTGAAATTTTGGAAATACATGCGTCTGAAGAAGGCAATTCTAAAAAAGTAGGAAATAATATGCCACAAGAAACGCATGAATCGTGATGCATCATTTATTGTACATCATCGAGGCTATACTATTTCATGAGCCTAGCAGCTTAAAATCTTTATTATTTGGGATAATATACTATGAAACGATTTATCTTTCTTACACCGAGCTCACAATCGTTCTTAACCGTTAGATATCAAATTGGATGGCATATCATGAAATTTGATATTTTATTTTTAACTTTAAATTTAGTAAATGACACACTCACAACCACCTAATTTAAAATCTAATGGACACAATAATTGGAGCATCTTTTTACTAAAGTTAAATGACCGCTCATTGTACTCTCTCATAAACTGTGTTTCCTAGGAGACATTGTACATTTATTTTAGGGCATTCCAGTCATTTGTTCGGTGATAAACAAATGGAAAAAGCTTCACGTACGAGGATGCGGTTTTTATTATGTTATTTAATTATAAATAAAAAAAGAGAGAGAATATCCAAGATTTTGCAGTGTCATCGTTGGTTATGTAATTACGTATGCTCCGATCGCCAGATAGCAAACGATGCGAAGATAAACTTACACGTGTCACATTGGGTCCCACAACTTGTGGCTTAGCTGCCACGTCACCACACCAAACTGGTAAGGGGACTCTAGAGTCTACCTTTCTGATCAAGAAAACCAACTTCCATGTTCAAAGTTTCGGCTTCGGAAACGAAACTTCGGGTTCTTATCAAGATTGGTGATATCCCAATTCGCGATTAAGAAGGTCCATCTCCAATATCAAGGGATGGAAACGGACCCACACGTGATTCGAGCCCGATGGCTAGACCCGACCTAGGTCTGGGTGTTGGTCCAAAACTTGGACCTGGCGGAGTTGGGTAGGGGTCCAAGTCTAGGTCTGGGCCCCACATTTCTAAATTTATGAATTTATATTTAAATACATAGATATTTTAATTTTTAGGTTGGTCCAATAGGGTTTGGGTCTGGATCCAGATCCCACATTATATTTTCAAGTTTGGGTCCAGTGACTTCAGGTCCGGTCGGTCTGGGTCTGGCCAGGCCCCGACCTGTTGCCAACCTTATCTGCAAATAAACAGGGAACTCAAGGGGCCAGTGGACCCGATCCAAAACAAATAAGGCTTGGGCCAACGCCAACTCGATCTGCTTTCTTTTCTTATTTTTCTTTTATTTTCTCTTAATTTGCTTTGGGCTTGGGTCAACCCTATGGGAACAAGGACCGGGCCATAATCCCAGGAGTAGGACCGGCGCCACCCTTTACTTATTTTCACCAATATATTAAAATTTTGCTTATAAGAGTTTTGGAATATCGGCTTTATTTGGCCAATCGCATATAAGTCTATCTCCAATTATTGGAATATGGACCATATTTTGGCCCATTGTTTTTGGCACAAGTTTGATTGGAATATTGGAAACTAGATATGGAAGAGTGCAATTTCAGCCATACTTGAAATTTTCACTTAATTTCCTTTTGCCAAATAGGTTACAAAAGTATACAGCACACAATAAGGAAATGACAATCCAAGTTCCTTTTTTTAGGAAATTTCCCGAATGCTCTCCAAGCATTTTATATTACAAAAATGGATTTTTCGATTTTATATGTAATTTGTATTTTACTTTTTCTATTTATTTATATATCACAAATTGTTAGGTAAGTGGATTGCCGAGATTGGAATGGGCAATTTCGCAAAACCCATCACACCAACACCTAACAAGTGGCAACATGTGAAAGTGACGCGTCACCAAAATTTCCCCCCTGAAGTTTTCAGAATGACAAAAGCGCCCTTTCTTTACCTTTGGTTTTCAAAATCAAATTGGGTAATGATCAAATAGAATGCTCCTTGTGTTCTAATTCCATTATTTTCAACATTAAAAGACATAAAAAGGCTCAATTTGTTATTATTTTGTGAAGGCATAAGAGTATTCTTTAAAAACCCCCTCTAAAATCATGATCCCAAAATAACCACCGGGCCAATAAAAACCCATGGGATCCTCTGAAGTTAAAGATCATGACATTCAACCCGCTTTTTACCTTTTACATTTCTCCAAATTATTGTGTTTACCTTTTTTTTTTTTTCTAATAACCACTTTATATAAATGGAATTTTCGATGCCTCTTTTATCTTAGGAGTTTCACAAGATGAGAGTGAGAGTTACGTATTTAAGGAAGGTTGCTAGAAAGAGAGGGAGGAAGAGGTCCATAGGTGAAGAAGAGAGAAATAGTGGGAGAACTTTTCCATGATTTAGATAACGAGGTAATTAAGAAAAAGAAATAAATGTAAATACTGTAATTTAGACAATGAAAAAAAGAGTAAAGAGAAGGTTAACATGGGATTGATGGGCATTTTATAGAACCATAGGATTATTTGCGATTATCTAAAACACATAAAGCACGAGTTCCCTAAGGGTCGTTTGGATACTTGGAAATATATTGTCAATGGAATATATTACTAGCGTAATACATTACATGCAAATGGATTGTTACTCTTTGTGTAGTACTCAGATGCAACCTAGGATACATTGCTCTTACTTGACACGGTTTAGTACGAAATTGTCTACATTGCACCTTAAATTTGCTCTTATATTACTCTTATTAGACATAGTGATTTAATATGGAATTATCTACAAATATATCATTTATCTTTTGTACGCTCAATCATTCTTGTCCTTTAAATTTCAAAATAGGTGGTTGTACTAGTGTCTTTGAATAAATGCAAAATTTCAAACAAACATTTCACTTCATGACTCACCTCAAGCCTTCCAATTTGACATCTAATATTTGATAATGATTGTGACCTCCATTCACAAAAGATAAATAGTCTCGTTGTAGACCTTCCTATTTAATATTGAAATACATATGTATAGATTGCGTGACTATACCATGCTTGTCATGCCTCAAAGAATAATAACTTAATAATGTGAATTAATATTGGTTATAATCATTGAGTGAACTATTTTAGTCACAACCTTTAAATATCGTTAATTTATAGGTTAACTAGTAAATGATGATGTATTTAAAAAAACAATTATTGTGAAGTTGTAAAGTATTTTAAAAATTAGATTGAGATATTGAAAGAGGCCAATGTGTAAGTAATTTATCACTTATTTTTCTGTATCTAAACCCTAATCCCAAGAAATCCTTTTTTTTCTAAAAGAGTAATCATTATAATTTAAATAAAATATAATTTAACAATTTTTGTCTCAATTTAAACCCTAATCCCAAAAAAATGTATTTTTTTTTAAAATATTTAATAATCATTATAATTTACCTGCACGGCTCGCTTGCAGAGAAAGCATAGCGAAGAAAGGCTCATAGACAGACAAGGGAGGCTCGAAGACAGATAAAGAAAAGAGGCTGAGTAAATAGGATTGACTATATCAAAACGGCAAAGATAGAACATTTAGTTTCCATAAATGCAGTGCCTGATGAAGAGAGAGAAAGGTCGAGGAAGCAAGGAAGATGAGAGAGAGTAGATCCGAGCAAAATGATGGGAGGAAAGAAATTGATACCATGATTTAGAAATGACCTTGAATATGGAAAAGAGGAGCTTGAGAAAGAGAGAAGTGGTAGGCTTATCAGAGGGAAAAGGGGAGCTTGAGAGGGAGAAGATGATGTACGTAGGAAAGAGGGAAAATGGTTTTTTAGATGCACACCGAAGATTATCCATCATGTGCGTAAAAGATTTGCCAGCACTCCCCCGGCACGTATTAGATTTCACGATATTTGAGAAAATATTGTGTAATATGTTTTCATTTCTTTACTAATAAATGTACCCAAACAGTGTAAATGCCATATTCCCTAATAATCTATTTCCCTGTAATATATTTTCAAGTGCCCAAACTGCCCCATAAACACGCATCACACAAGGTTTTTAGTTCAATGGCGGCCCCTTAAACACGTATAACAAGGTTTTTTCAGTTCAATGGATTTGTGGCATCGTTACGATAAACGACACTTTTGATGGTATTTCATTTATATATATTGTTTGATAAGAGTACTGTTAACACGTATGGCCATAAGGCCTATCGTGACTTTGCCTATAATTGTGGGTTGGGAAGCCTACAAATGTGGGACGAATCCTATATTTATCACATCTAACATTCACATGAGTCAACATCCATATGAACGTTGGATGAATGTCCTTAAGATCAGGGAAGATCCTTTCTCAGAGACTTGTTGGAAAAATAACCGTTAAGCCATTTTCTTCTCCCTATAAAATGAGAAGCTAGAGAGAGGAAGAACTCAACAAGAAAGAAAGATATATAAAGTTTCATATGTAAACACAAA